TGACATATTTTGATAGTGAGTGATATATACTGAATCCATCCTTCACATCTACAAATCTACCATTCGTCCATGCATGAAGTACTGTTACCATATATGGTCTGGTACCCCGGGAATTCATCACGAGTTTCTCGACAAAATCCAAAGATGGATATGCAATGTGATCGGTCCTGATATGGCATCTCAACTCCAATCACTTTCTCACAGACGTGATGAGGCTTCTTTCTGCGTTTTCTACAAATATTTCCATGGCAAATCCTCTGACGCGCTATTTTCACTGGTGGAAGGACTACATTGAATCAATAGCTTCATCTACCGCAAGGAAAGTTAGTTCTCTGTGTCACGCCAGAAGGTTTTTCGCGTTTGAGTTCATCATTCACATCTAAAAATCTACCATTCGCCCATGCATAAAATACTGTTGCCATATATGGTCTGAACCCCAAACGCTGTTCATCTCGAGGTTCTCGACAAAATCCAAAGACGAATATGCCATGTGATCGGTCCTGGTATGGCATCTCAACTCCAGTTACTTTCCCACAGACGAGACATGGCTTCCCTCTGTCTTTTCTACAAATATTTTTATGACAACTATTCTGATCAGCTATTTTCACTGGTGACTCAAATGCATGAATTTAAGCGTGCTACTAGGTTGGCATCTCGGTCCCACCCTTTTACTGTCGAATTGTTAAATGTAACCGCCTCTTCTACTCCAATAGCTTCTTCTCTCGTACTTCCCGACAGTGTAACTCCCTTCCTCTTACTTGTTTCGATGATCTTCAAAAATTTTAATTTAATGTCAATTAACTTCTGAAAAGCGTGTTTCACAACCTGCTGTAACGTAGAATGAGGAATAACCAAAACGGAGGTTGAAAATGAAATGGTAATCTTTATAACATCAGTAAAATAAAATACTCGCCAGCGGCGTGAAGTAGGTAAACCACTGCTTGTGGCGAACTACTTAAACACCATATTACTCCCTTTTACAATAGGGTCCAACGTATTAGAGGATTGGGACATACACATTAGTGTTCGTAGATACGGTATATAAGGCACACCTTTCTATTAGGTTGGTGCAAAAATAATGACATAATAATGTCGTTTTTTGACGTTAAAAAATACATCAAAAAACGACATTATTACGACATTATTTTTGCACCAACCTAATATATTTGTATAGTGATTATATCAGAGTCTTCTTCTTCTCTTATGTGACGTGTCCCTTCAGGACGGAGGCAATCATGCCCCCTCATATCTTCCGCTGCCTTGTAACTCTTAATATGTATTGTCTTTTTTGCTATTATCTCCTAAATACTCCCAAGATATTTAAAATGTTGTTCTAGCTTGACTTTGTTATCTCCAATTTGTAATTTGTATGTTTCCCAGTTACTTTTGCTGACAACCACGCTTTCTCTCATCTTGCAATTGATGCTTAGTCCTTTCTTCTCCCTTTCTTTTATCACACTGTCTATGCAGTCCTGTAGTTTTCTTTCCGAGTCGGCCATCAACACAGTGTCATCTGCGTATCATAGTCTTAAGATAACGCAGAACGAAAACACATACTGCTAGTTTCTCCAGTTCACTTAGGATAGCGTCGACATAGACGTTTAATAAATCTGGAGAGAAGAAACAGTATTATTATTATTATTATTATTTGGGGTACCTCGTAGTTAACGTTGGGATACGCATGGCAGCAAGTTTCCTTGAATCTCCAGCACTCTCCTTAATATTTTTAATGACATCATATTATTATTATTATTATTATTATTATTATTTGGGGTACCTCGTAGTTAACGTTGGGATACGTATGGCACCAAGTTTCCTTGAATCTCCAGCACTCTCCTTAATATTTTTAATGACATCATATTATTATTATTATTAAAATTATTATCTGGGGTAACCTCGTAGTTAACGTTGGGATATACATATGGCATAATACATCATATTATTATTATTATTATTTATTATTATTATTCGTTATTAACGTTGGGATACGCATTTTTACAACTTTTCCTTGAAATCTCCATTTCTCCTTAATATTTTAATTTAATCATATTATTATTACAGTTTTTATTATTATTATTATTAACGTTGGGATATAATTCATATATTCAGAAATTTATTAAAAAAAATGAATAAAAAACTAATTTTCATTTCCTTTATTTTATTTTTAATGACATCATATTATTTATTATACATCCTTACTTCTTATTTTTTTTTAAATTTTATTTATAAGTAAATAAAGCCATAGATTTGAAAAAAAGTAAGAATTTTCAATGAATTATCTAAGCAATTTAAAATAATGCTTTTTTAATTACAAAATTATATTATATTTTTATTTTTATTTTTAAAAAAACAATTGAGATAACGATTTGGGATTTTTTCCATGGAATAAGATTATTATTTACTTGAATTTGTAATGTAAGAATGTATAAAATATAATTTATTTTTATTCCAAATATAAATATTTTAATTGTTTATATTTTCCATTTATTATTGAAATATTAAATAAATTTTTTAACGTTGGGGTTATTTTGTCATTGGAGCATTTTTTTTTTAAATATGAAATAATTTGAAAATATTTTTATTTTTGATAAATATTATTATTTATATTATTATTAATTAAATAGTTAAATTTAATACAAATTTGGACATTTTATTCTTTTAATTTTATCTCATTATTTATAAATAATTATTTATATTTACATATATATTATTATTAATATTACATACAAACTTAAAAATTTCAAAATTTAAATTTTAATGATGAATTAAATAGAAAAAAATTGAAACATTTAATTATTTTTGTCTTCAAAATGAAAATTTGTTTTATTATTATTATTATTAAATTTATTATATTTATTTTTTATGAGAATTTTATATTTTTATTTTAAAAATTTTATTAAAGTTTTGATGTTAAATATAATTCAAAAAAAATGAATTTTTTTTTTAAAATGACATTTGTAGATAAAAAATTTATTCAAATTTGCAAAATTTAAATTTCCAAAAATTAAAATGACAAATTTTTTTATAAAAAATTTTTTAAATATGAAAAGTATTATTTTATTTAATTTTTTTATATGTTATTTTCTATATTTTATATTCAACATTTTATAATTGAATTTTTGAAATCAAAATTTGATAAAAAATAAAATAAAATGAATTATTATTACAATTATTATTATATTTATTATTTTTTTTTTTTTTTATATTATTTCTTTTTTTTGTTTTTAGATATAAAAAAAAAATCAATTGATTTTTATTTTATAAAAAAAAAAATAATGACATTATTAAAAAAATATTTTAATGAAAGAGAATTGTATGTTTTTCATTAAAATTTTTTTTAAATTTTAAATTATTTTTGGAGAAAATTTAAAAAAAAAACTAATTAATTTTAAAAAAAATCTTGAATTTCCAATATAATTTTATAAATTTGAAAAAAAAAAATTCAAATGAATTTTAAAAAAAAAATTTTGAAATTTTTTACCTAAATAATTTTAATAAAATTTTATTTTTTAATATTATGATTTTTATTTTATTTAAATAATTTTAAATTTCTATTTTTTTAAAGAAATATAAATGGCATTAAATTTAAAAATATAAAAAAATTTTAAGATATATAAATATTGATAAAAAAAAAAAAAAATTTAAAAAAAAATGAAAAATATTTAACAAATTTTAGATTTTTAATATTTCATAATATATTTCAATAAATTATATATATAAAAATATATATAAATATCATATATATTTATATATTTTCAATGAAATTATTAAAATTAAATATCATTTGACATAGAAAAAATAAAATTAAAATTTTATAAATATTTTTTTTTGAATTATTTAATTTTTTTATTTTTTAATGATTAAATGTCAAAGATAAATTTAAATAAATGATGGATTTAAATTTATTAAAAATATATAAAAATATAAAATTTGATAAATTTACAAACTTCAAAGAACAAATGAAAAAAATTTGGATATTTGAAGAAACAAAAAATTTTTTAAAAAATTAAAATTTGGTTTAAAATATAAAATTAAAATTCATATTTAAATAAATGCAATTCATAAGTTTTGAAAATTCGAATAAATATAAAAATTTTTTTAA